AAAATCAAAGTAGACTATCACTCACCCACACCAGATGGAAAACTCTACAGACTGTCGGTTCACACCCCATCACAAGCCAGCAAAACATCCACGAAACAAAGAAAGGTCTGTCACAGCCAAAAAATACACTCCAGACACGTCGCTGGCACTAGAGGCACAGCATGGCCGCCTAGTAACGGCCCCGACCACTGCCGCTCGACCTGACCGGAAATATGTATATATATATAGATATAGATATATATCTCGCGGGGGCTATCCAGATGGGGATTGTTGACTTGTTATGTTTGGACGCATGAACTTCGGGTTCATCCAGCAGTCATTTTCACCTCTTTTCTTTTTCTTCGTCATATCTTCTGCATAGCACCAGCAGCGGCTGGTCCCGAGATTCGAGCTCATCATCTGTTTATTGACAATTATATGCGTGTACCGTTCAGTCACATGGACTGGGTGGTTCAGGTCGATCTCCTAACGGTCAAACACTCACATTGGTTGATCCTGAGTACCAATCACGCTCAGCCTCTGTGCCATCAGAACAACGCTATGTGCACTTGCGAGATGGGCAGGCAAGAGGCTGAGAACTTGGTAGTAATATAATCGCACTCACTTGAGTCACTGTCGATTTCCCCCTCACCTGCAACTGTCAAGCAGCGCCTCACCTGCAATTGTCAAGTGGGGCACTAGCACGCAAAGCTGAAGTCAGTGACTGGTGCACATCAGGAAGCTTGTCCACATTCCGGTGTTCTTGCACATTCCCTGATCAAACACATGGCAGTACAGAATTGCACATAGAGCCCAAAACACGATCAGCACACGCCGGTTCCAAATTGGCAAATTAAGAAACTACAAAAAATCAGAAATAGACCAAAAAAAGTGCAGGACAGTCTGCTTCAGAGTCGCACAAATCGCCTGAAACAATTTCAGCACCAATTGCTTCAGTGTCTCTTTTTTTTTTGTTTTTTGTTTTTCCAAAAGGGGCACTGTTGTTTTTTCTTTTTTTTTTTTCTTTTCTAAAGTTTTTATGGTCCTGGCTCCATATTCATTCTGGGGAGCCTCTGTCCGGTTCCTTTCCACCGGCAAGTCATAAATTGAGATACATGGTGAACACTCTCACGCTTCCTTCCATCTGGCCGAAGGAACCCTGACCAGCATTGATTGCTCCCTATCTGGAGGATTGACTGTCAGCTTGCCATGCCACTTTTCCTCTCAGAATCTATTGCGACTCTGTCGGCTGATTCGTGTAAAGCAAGAAAAGAGGAGAGTTGTCCATACTGTTGAGATGAAAATCTCAGTTGGCCCATCACTGCTGCACCGTCCTAGTTGGAGGTGTGCTGTGCCGTTCCTTCCAAATCAATCTGTTATCTGTCACAGTTGCAATCTTTCCCTGAAGAAGCCAGTTTCTCATGAAGATCCGTCTCTTGATGGCTATCCTTTCTGGTCTGCCTTTCGTTGCTGATGTCACCTCCCTCCATCTGGATTGAATCTCAGTTTCGGCCATTCCCAGCAACAGTACCCACATTTCTTCTCTTACCACCTCAGTTCCTTCGATCCTCTTGGTACATCTCCTTTTCAAGATTACCCATAGAGCCAGCTTCCTGAGCAGGTGAAACCATACTTCCTTGCCGCCTTTGAGATTGTTAGTATTGTTGGAAAGGAGCAGGATATTCAGGGGAGTTGTGGGCGGAGGGGGTGATGAGAAGAGGAGGGACCATAGGTCGTGCACCTTGTTCCATATCCATGCTGCTTCCTTGCAGTACAGTAGGCAGTGGGGTATGTATTCCGGGATGCTGTCTGTGCATAGCCTGCAAAGCTCAGAGCTGTCAGGGTCCGTATGTTTCCTCCTCTTGTGGAGCCATTGATTGACCGGCAGTGATGCGTGCGCTAAGAGCCACTGCATGCTTCGAATCCTAACCGGTCTAATGGTCAGGTACTTCGTCCATGGGATGGAAATGGAATCCGTGGGATCCAGATTCAGGATCTCCCTCCACTTTCCTTTGAGGCTGGGGTCCAGGTCTGTGGTTTGCAGACCCAGCTCATAGCCGAATTTGATATTGTAATCAAATATATCGTTCTCGTTCTCCGGATTTGCCCTGCTTCCAAACCACTCTTTCGGGTCGAATTCTAGGTCTGAAATGCTGAGGTCCGGTTGGAAGATTTTGCAGGGTTGGACTTTGAAACCCTCACTTTTCTCAGTCAGAAGGTTTCTAGTGTGTTGCACTGGGGATCTTTGTTCTGGATTTCCAGCTCTTGTAGGTTGTGATTAGCTATGGGGTATGAGTAGAATTTGGATAGGTAGCAGAGTGGGTTGGTTTGAGAAACGAATGAATATGCTCTAGTAGGCTGGGTTTGGGAGATGAGTACGCCCCAATCCCCGGATTTCCATGAGAAGTCCTCCCTTAGGAGGGAGAGCCATTGTACTGGGATACTCTTCTGGATCAACGTTAGCTTTTCAGCGAGGGAGTGACAGGCTTATAAGACATTTTGTAGCTCCTGCTCAGTAGCCCATCATCCTTTGTCCTCTGCCCAGATGTGTTTCACCTGCCACACGACTTTTTCCACCCAGGATAGCCATCTTCGGTCTTTTGTGCGCAGTGCCCATGTCCCTCCGCTAGGGTCAGTGATCCAAGGGTTGTAGAAGAGAGGTCTCAGGACATTGTCTCTGTTTCCTGGTGAACCGTGTTTACTTGGCATCATTCTACGCCAGGCTTTGATGGTAGGACTCCAGTATGAGATGGCTGTTTGAGTGGGGGTTGTGATGACCTCTGTCGGGTTTCTCCTGTGAGGTCTGCCTGATTTGATTACCGAGTCATTCGCCATGAGCCAGTAGAGACCTCTCATGTTCGGGGGGGAGTTTATGGGCGCCAGGTTTCTGATGTTGTCTAGAGCCATCTGGGTCCAAGGGAGGGATTGTCTGATCAGGATCTTGGTAATCCATTTCACCTGCAGTGCTACGGACTCCTATTTGGGGTCGATTAACCCAAGGCCCCCTTCCCGTGGTTTACTCGTGATGTGGTTCCAGGCTACCCTGTTGATACATGTGGTCCTGTTGGGGTCTCCTGTCCACAGGTAGCATCTCGCCCTCTTGATGTCGTCATCGGGGGGGGACCAGATGGAAGCCATGTACCACAGTGTGGAGAAGATTGTCGTGTTAATTAAAAGGGCTGGTCCGATTAGTGAGGCCTGAGCATTTTTGCATAGGGCCAAGCGGGTGATTGCCCTGGCAATTAGGTTCTGGCCCATTCCTGGCCATACTCACTCCTTGTTGACCATGATGCCCAGGAAACGTGATGCTTGCTGTCCCGTTGTCCATGACATGGGTGTGGCAGTGTCAGATGGTTGGGGAGGAGTACCGTCTGCTAGCCACCAGCCTTCAGTTTTGCCCCAGTTAACCTTCATTTCTGATGCCAGTCTGAAGGCTTCCAATGCTCTTACTAGGGCTTGGAAAGAAGAGTTATTGGTGCGAATGAGGACAGCGAGGTCGTCGGCGAACATAAGTGCAGTGGGTAGGGCGAAGTCGTGTAACGGGTTGAAATTGTGTTTTGTGAGGCGGTCAATGGATGGATCTTTCGAAGGAAGGAAGCTACGGCTTCCATAATGAAGACGAATATGGGCAGAGCCAATGGGTCGCCTTGTCTGACAGATCTAGATATCGGACAGGTGTCCGATAGGATTTTGTTGACCTGGACCCTGCCTGTAGCGTCTGAGTACAGGACTTTCACCCAATTTCTGAAGTTTAGGCCTACCCCCATTTTCACCATGCATGTGTGGAGAAACTCCCAATTGACTTGGTCGTAGGCCTTTTCGAAGTCAAAAAACAAGATTGTAACCTTCATTTGTTGCTACCTCTCTTCAGCGTCATCACGTTGTCCAGTAGGTACCCAGGATGAAGCCTGCTTGGTCAATGCGAAAACATTTGTCCGTTAGTTTTGTGATTCTGTTCACAAGCGCCTTAGCTAGGATTTTGTAGGGTTTGGTGAGTAGTGAAATTGGTCTATAGTTCTTTAGGTCTTCTTTGTCTCCCTTCTTATAAAGCAATGAAACCACGCTGGTGCTCAGATTATTGCCCAGGCCTCCATTGAGCATGCTGTCGTTGAAAAAGTCGAGCAGGTCTCCTCCTAGGGTCGGCCACAAGCAGATCCAAAATTCTTTAGAGAGGCCATCGATGCCCGGGGCTTTGTCATTTCCCATCTGGGTCAAGGCTATGTGTAACTCGGCTAGGGTTAGGGGGTTGTCCAGGCCTTCCGCTTGGGTTGTCGAGATCGTCTTGTCAAGGTAAGATAGCATGAGTTGGCAGGCTGCGAAATTCGTTGTGGTCGGGGGTGAGAGTGTCTTCGATTCGTATAGATCTGCGTAGAATGCCCTGGCTATCCTGACCATTTCTGAACCTGTTGTTTTGATGTTCCCTTGCTCTGCTGGGTCTTTGAGGCCCTCTATCATGCTGTTCTTTGCGTTTGCTTTGATTTTAGAGAAGAAGAATTTGGACATGGATTCGTTAAGTGTGTAGTCCGTCATCCTTGCTCGTACTTGCAAGCCTCTCAGTTCCCATCTTCTCCACTCATTTAGTTCTTATTTGGTATTAGCTAGTAATTCTTGGTAAAATTCGCTAGAGGGGCCCTCTGCCAGGTTAGATTCTCCAACTGAGATGGCGAATTGGAGCTCCTCTCTTCTCCTCTTGCAGTCTCTAGTTGTACCTCGTGATTCTGCTGATACTGTTCGTGTTAGTTCTCCGTAGCTGTCGATGAACCATTGGTGTCTGTTTGTCTGTCTGAACTTGCGCTGTTTATTGAGGTGCCAGTTCTCTTTGACTGCCGCACACATCCTTGCGGTCGTTATGAGGGAGTTGTTCAATCTGAAGAATCCCTGGCCTGTTTCAACTGGTGAGTTGAAGTTGAGCAGCAATTGAATAGGTTTGTTCTCCAGACCTTTGAAGGCTGCAGATAGGAGGATCTCGACCTTTTTAACTGTGCCTAGTAGACTCTCAGATATGAGGAAGTAGTCAATTCTGGATAGTGATGTCCGATTGGCTTGGTTCCTCCTTATCCGGGAAAATACTTTTTTGTCCGGATGCATCGCCCTTAGTGGGTCGATGAGTTCGAAGTCTGTCATCTGGTTACGAATCCGGGTGCCCGCTCTTGTGGGGCTTATTTGTGCTGTCCTTGAGATCCGGTCCAGGTTGGGGTCCAGGGTCGTGTTCCAATCTACTGCGATGACTATCGGTTGCAGGTTGGGGACAAGGGTTTTGATGCTCTCAAAGAACGTCAGTGTTTCGGATTCCGTGTTAGGTGCATATAGGTTGAGAATTCTCAAGTCTTCTTCTTGCCACCTAATGTCTAACCAAGACCATATCCCTTCCTTGCTGTCGCCCTCGCTATTCAGGATCTGTCCCTCGGTCAGAATCTTGGATGTTCTCCAAAGGGGGCACTCATTAACTTTCTTCTGCTCACAAAATGGTCTAGATGAGTTGGTACACACATGAACTATTGGAACATAGACACCAGTTTGGAATCAGATGAGTAATAACTCTGTATTTACCTGCGGCTGGTCAGTTAAAACTTGAAAGGTGATATCTCACGGCTGTCACCCTGGTTTACAATTAGGGGGCAAAAAAAAAAAGAACTTTCTCGTGCTCATCTGATTCCACCAGGATTTGAACTCATGTTCTGTTTCCTAACAGCCACACGAGCTGGGCGCTTCAGTGTTTTCTTTCCCACTGCCAACCGTTGAGAAACCCCAGAGTGACAGAATCGGGATTGGCT